AAAATGGATATTGTCTATAAATTTATTAGTAAAATAAATTCCTCTTAGGTAGACATATTTTAACTCACATATCTAATTTTTTGATTGTATGTCACGATTTATACCGGATTTTTGCATATCATTAGGTGTAATAAAACTACTTGATGAGCTGACTAGTTCGAGAACCAAGTAGAATTATATCAATTTATTTATCTTAATACATAAATGAGCAAAAAAAATTATCTTTATACTTCTATGGACATTGAGGTGATAAAAATTCCGGGTAATATAAAGATTAAGACATTAATTGTGGTTTTCTATCTCTAGCCAAGTTTTTAATCTTCCAGCTTCATAAAAAACTTCCTGTTTTAAAGAGTGTTAAAGAAGAGTTTCTTTTTATGAGGTGAACTTCTGATAAATATAGCTGATAAGACCCAACTTTAAAAGTTATAGATGAGGATGAAGTTCAAGTTTACTCTATAAGTGGAAGTTCTGAGGCAAAATCAGTTGATATGGAGCTCTAGATAACTTGATGATGTGGTTGGAGAGGATACTCTTTGTCTTTTAACTGCTAAAGGGGACACCGAGCTCCCTCTGAGTCACCATCAAGCAAGATAAGATAAAAATTAAAGTTAAAACATTATGACTAAATAAGTTTAAGTGTAAGTTTATTTGACTTTTTAGCTCATGTAGTGCTGATTAATAATTTTGCTCGAGAAAATTTTCATAAATTCAATCATTTGAATATCAATTTCATGTTGAAGAGGATTGATAGGAGATTTCAAGGAAGAATTAGTTATAAATGGGGCAAAAAACATGTTGGGACACTTGATTTGTCACAACTTTATTACTAGATGGCCTTATTTTAATTGTATGAAGTCTGATTGGTAGAGTTCCATCATGTTATGATTAGTTTAGATATGTAAATCTCCCTATAAACTATTATGTCATCGCTGTTATGGTAGTAGATCTCTAGTAATTATAGAAGCTGGATAAGCTGCAGCTGCCCCAAACAGACCCTAAATGAACTTTAATAATATAATTTTTAAATTCCATTTTGTTATATCAACTAAATGAACTTTAATATCCTTATTATTATTAGTATTATAATTATAATTTTATTTTGCTACATCAACTATTATTATGGTTTTTAGAATACACTTCCATTATTTTTATAAACAAACCTCATTTTTTTATCAGAAAAATTGAGCTCAAAGTATAATATGTGTGATTAAAATCCGCGACATCATGGTGGAAAACTAAACCCTCAACCATTATATCGAGAGTAAGTGCACAAATAAATCTCATTTCGAACTTAAGTTTTGAACCTCATTTGAACATGATTTAAAATCTATTTGAAATAATGTTTAAATCATGTTCCAACGAGCTTCGAACCTTATTACCATAATAAAGGTGAAACTTTGTCGCCCCATATTAGAAGTAGATCCATCATCGAGAAGTTTCAAATAAATTTAAATATTTTTAAGATATTATTTTTTTTTTTAATTTTTATATAATTTTAGTTGTTTAGGACTTTAAATAAATTTTACACGCCAAAAAATAAGAAAATATTCACAATATTTTCTCAAAACAAAGTCAGAAAAAAATAATAAAAAAGTTAAATTATATGCGCAGCCTCTCTCTCTCTCTCTCTCTCTCTCTCAAGCGAATTCTCCTCTCTGCTTATAGATCGCCAGAGCGAAGAATCGCTGTCATGTTTCATGATCTCCTCCAATTCCATAGCTTCTTATAGCTTCTACATAGATTTCATAATGCTTCGTTCTTAAATGATCATTTCTAGGGTTTTCTAGTCACTTTGCCAATCAATCGCTTTATCCCGTCGACTGTGTTTACTTCTGCAATTTCAGTTTACGTTTCCTTTGCTGTGCGGTGCGAGTCTATGGCCTATTACCCAAAGGTACCTGGTTCGACATCGGGATCGGGATCGAGCTCAAGCCCTCGGCTTCATTTCTTGAACTCTTCCTTCGGCGATACCACCTATACGAAGGTCTTCGTCGGCGGCTTGGCGTGGGAGACGCAGAGCGAGACGCTGCAGCTCTATTTCGAGCAATTCGGGGAGATTCTTGAGGCCGTCGTTATCTCTGATAAGTACACCGGGAGGTCGAAGGGATATGGTTTTGTGAGTCGAAGATTGTCTTTTTTGGTTGAAATTAGTGGAAAAAATGGTTTTTTTATTTTAATTATATATTTATGTTTTTATTTTTTTTTATGGATGTTTATGGAGGAATTAGGTGACATTTCGGTTCCCTGATGCCGCAACTAGGGCTTGTGCAAACCCTAATCCTGTTATAGATGGAAGGCGAGCTAACTGTAATTTGGCTTCATTTGGTCGGCTTCAACCAGCTCCACCTCATGGTATGTTTTTCTTATTTGTTAGCTGTTATTTTCTTAATACCATATTTTCAATCTGTTATTTTTTTGGTTTGTTCGATTGTAGTTTTTCTTTCCAGATTTCTTGGATTTTGCTTTGCATATCTAATCTGATTGCTTTATTTATTCTGAAATGTTTTTCATTCCTGTGTATGGCATCGAAGAAATCAACATGAAAAATAGTTGACTTTTGATGATGATATATAGTTTTTTGAAGCCAATTTTATGAAATGTTTTTCTCAGTACACCTTCCTTTTTAATGCATCTTCTACCCTTTGGTGAGCATGTCCTGGTCATTTTTTTAAAATATTTTTCACTCATCTCTCTAATTCAAATATTTCTCATATCTGTGCTTGTATTATCATATCTTTGTCCCACCAACATTTGTTATATCAAGATTTTTCTTTGAGTCATGGGTGATATGAAAACACAACTTCTTACTATGTTCCCTGTGGCGTGAAATTATCTCTGTGTTTCGAACCTAAACTATAACCAACTATCCAAGATTGTATATCATGTACTTTATCTTCTATCATGATTAGTTAATGTGATACTTTATACACATAAGTTGCTATTTTGGGATTGAAAGAATGGCAAGTTCATATTGGAAGATTAAGAATTTTATACACATAAGTTGCTATTTTGGGATTGAAAGACAATGTTTGTTTTTAGTTTGTAGATCTTATGGCTGATAATGGCAAGTTCTTATTGGGAGATTAAGAATCATAACACTCAATTCTTATGTATTTACATGTCTAACACCTAAAGTTTAATTTTTACATGCATAAGGTGTATTTCACTTTTTAAAAGTTAAAATTGCGGTGTATCTGATGTAATATGAAAGATTAGGGTGGTTTAGATGTAAAAAAGCAAAAGGCGTTAGATATGTAAATACATAGAATTTGGGTGATATGTATGTAAATGCCCCTTTAATATTTGCATTTTAATTTTGAAAGTTTTTATTTTTGTTAGGACATTTGGTGGGACATAGTAAAATTCAATCCTCAAATCTGCTTAGCCGAAATCTAGTGAAATTCACTTTCTCCCTTTCACTGATATCAAGTTTGGACCTGGTAATGATTGTAAAAATGTCAAGACTCTTTGGGGAGAGTAGAGAGTGACAACGAGGCTAAAAAATATTTATGTTTGTTTTTTGGTATTTCGGGGAGGGTTGAGCCCTTTTGGTATAATTTTTTGATTTGTAGCCGATGTTGCATACCTGAGAATTTGAACATGGTCAGCTCCATAACTTAAAATAAAAACTACCGGTTTCACTTATCTTTAACCTGCGAACAATTCCAGTTCTTAATTTGATGTGCTTGATGTGATCTTATGTCATACTACACCCCTTGATTTGTTTTTTGGAAGATTTACATACGTACCATTGAATTCCTATGTATTTGCATATCTAACACCTAAACTTCAATTTTTACGCACATACAACCTTACTTATGCATGAAAAGGTGTATTTCACCCTTTAGAAGTTAAAATAATGGTACTTTTGATGTGATATGAAAGATTTCGGTGGTATAAATCTATAAATCAAAGTTTAGGTGTTAGATATATGAATACATTGGAATTTGGTGGTATGTATGTAAATGCCACCTTGTTTTTTATTTGAATGGAATGTGAGAGTTATGGGTGGCACTTGTTTGGTTGCTCATTTTTTTTTATCTTGAGTGTTATCTGTGATTCGTTCGTTCAATTTCTTACACATTTCTTTTTTATGTGTTTTATTTGATTTGCTGTGTGATCATTGTCGGCACAGGTTAATGGATTGAATTCAGAGTACCCAAATGAGGTAATGTGCTAGTCTAGAGGAAGTATTTGTAGGAAAATCCTTAGCGTGGGATTTTAAAGAAATGATATGTGGAAGAATCATGTCCTTGTATTTCTACCTGAACAATTAAACTGTTTGCATAATCATGTCCACTAAGTAGTTTTCAAAGTGGACCTTATATTAACTTTCAGTTACTGTTTTTTTAAGGGAAATTTATATACATACCAGACACTTCTTATGTATTTACATATCTAACGCCCAAAGTTTGATATTTACATTTATAACACGATGGTGTGATAAACACATGCATGAAAATGTGTATTTTACTTTAAAGGATTGTGATGGCGGTATATTTGATGTTGTTGAAGTCTTAAGTGGTATGAATGTTTAGGTGTTAGATATGTAAATAAATAAGAATTGTGTGGTGTGTATGTAAATGCTCCTTTTTTAAAATGTCATTCATCCTGACTATTGGTCATGGTACCTTTCCATTTTGCTCTGAGAAATGGATTTTTCTGGCCTCTTTAATGGGTGAAGAGATATTCTTTGACTTCCTATGTTTAGCTATAGAAAACATGAGATGATATTAGCATTGAATTTGACCAATCCATAAATGGCTTTGGAGATCTGTTTTCTTCTTCTATGCAGGGCCATGCCATTTTCTCAACCCAATATTACTTTTTTGAGTCAAGTGTCAAAATAGTCCATTGACTATTTACATGTGATCATTTTAGTTATAGAGTCTATAAAAGTGTCATATCAGTCCTCGGTGCTTTTGTAATACCGATTGAAATAGTCCCCAAAAAATACTATTTTAGGCCTATTAAAAAAAATTGGGGACTAAATTGGCACTTGTATAGAATTTGGGACTAAAGCTCCCATGCAAAGAGTCAGGGTATCATTTTGACATTTTTCTTATTACTGTTTTCTTTTTCAGGTTTTTTTTCAACTGCCTGAACATCCATGAAAGTGTATCTTATTATCTCGATAGTTTTTGTAGTTGTATCTTATAACATCAACCATGTTTCCATGCATTTCTTCTCACTTCAATCCAAGTGATCTTTCATAAAGAAAATCATGATTTTTACTGAGCTCCCCAATTTTATCTCAAGTTCTATGTCTTACCTTCAACCTCATATTGTATAAATAATCATATTTATATATATAAGTCTATGGTGTTTTTATACAAATACAGAACAGAGGATCGTGATTGTCCTGATTCTTCAATCAAGAACTGAAGCTCTGTAATTTCTTTTCTTTGAGGATTGGCATTGAATGATTCAGATATTAGGCACCACCTACACTTGATTATCACGACAAAATTTCTTAACTTTTCTAGTTCTATATTTATGTTTATTTGAATGGAAGCATACTTTTTAATCAACTACATTTTCTAAAGTTTTGGTGGTTCATGCGCAGGGACCATGTTGTAATTTGATTGTTGTTTCATTTGAATTTTTTAGTAGCACACCCAAGGTCCTTTGGCCCTTACATAGGAGGTGTTTCTATTCCAAGAAGTTATGTTGGAGGATCCACCTACCACCAACCACTTCCTTACAACTACCAGCAAGCTATTGCATATTCTCCATATGGGTAAGTCAAGCTTTAGTGTTTACCCCCATTTTAGCAATCAATTTCACATTTCATGTTAGTGATATTTGTCATCTCAATTTTGCTTACAACAACAACAACAACAACAACAATAACAACAATAATACCAAAACCCACTAAATGGGATCGGCTAAATGAATCATTTTCCTCCATTGCGTCCTATTTAGTGTCATCTCAACTCTGCTTGATAGAATTTATTGTAGAAGCTTTTTGTTTTCTTAAATGAATTTATAGCTGTCCAAGAATGCGCAAGTGTTTGTGTAGAGAAGCAGGAAAAAAAGTGCCAAAATAGTCTTGACTATTTACATGGAGCCATTTTACTCATAGAGTTTACAAAAGTGTCAAATTAGTCAACAGACTTTTCTAACGAGTTGAAATAGTCCTCAAAGATGACTATTTTATCCCTCATTATAAAAACTCTTGGGATTAAATTGATACTTTTTTAGACTTTGGGACAAAATCGGACCCATACAAAGAGTCGGGGAACTATTTTTACACTCTTCTCCGAGAAAAAATAATTTGCAGAATAATACATACTTTGTCCAATTAACTGTTGGTTTATCACATGCATATTCCTTAAGCAGAATGCAGAAATGGGCATGTAAAGGTTATATAAATAATTCTTTAGTGGAAAAATAGTAATGGGAATTAGGTTTTGTATACTGATGGTTAGTCCTTTATTGTCCTCAATGAAATCAAACACTCACTGGCTAGTGGCTAGTTCTGTGTTTTTGGAGGAATACTTCGAAAAAACCTTGTAATTAAAATCTATGCTCTTGCTTTTTACATTAATTTTTTTTTTCTCAAGGATATCTTGTGTTTTCATTCAGGTACCCAGCATATGGGCCAGAATATGTTTATCCACAGGTTTCCATTCGAAGACCATTATCGTTTACTTATCATCTATGTCAAATTTACCTTGGAAGTTTGTTTTGTTTTTATTCTCACTAATTGTATAAAATATTGGTTCACAGAACGTTTATAGTCCATATGGAGCCCAGCAATATGTACAAGTTTTTGGCGTTCCTGGAGCACCAAATACAGCTATTTACCCTTATGGGCAGTTTGGTCAGCCAATTCCCACTGGCCAAGGTTTTGCAGCTGTGCAGGGCTATGCAATTCCTAGCCATCATCTTTTGCAGCCCGGAGGACCTAACATAAATGGAGTTGCTGCTCCAGCCCGGCCTGTAATTCAAGCACCATTTGCAGGCAAGCTTTTTTTTTTACTGTTATTTCTTCACATTCTCAGGCGGGTAGAGGCTTTATATAACCTGACCTCACTGTTAAGAATGAGGAAGGCATGTAAAATAGAAGATTTTGTGAATGAAATAAGTCTTTTGAAGATAACACTAAAAGTTGATAAAAAAAGTATGCCTCAACTTCAGAATTTCAAGTTGTGCTCTTTCTCAGCTTGTATTTTGCGACGAATTTTGTACTCGGTGTTTATTTTGTTAATTTGAAGTTCTTTGTACTGGGTTGCAGGGGTTGCAGCACCTGTTTCAGTTCAGCCACAGTTTATTCTTCCTGCTCAGTCACCACAACTCAGTGAAGGAAATGGATCAAATCAAAAACCCTAGCTAGAGGATCAGTTGGTGAACAATACCCAAAGGTATATATACCAGAAGTTATTTTTTATTGTTTGTTGGTTCCATTCCATCTAATTTGTCCTTTTTTCTCTTTATTTTTTGAGGGGGCATTTACATACATAACACAATTCTTTTGCATTTATATGTCTCCCACCTAAATTGTCATATTTACACAGCATTCAAATCTTTAATATCATATGAAAACAGCACTATTTCCACTTTTTAAAGTGAAATACACATTTTTCATGCATAGGTTTAAAGCATGAAGTGATATGCGTATGAATATGAAAGTTTAGGTGTTAGATATGCAAATACGTCAGAATTGTGCTTTTGCTACATATGTAAATCTCTCTCTATATATATATATATATATATATATAGATAGATATTGTGATCATCACATCACCATCATCACCATCATCGTTGTTTCTCTCTCTCTCTATATATATATATATAGATAGATATTGTCATCATCACATCACCATAATCACCATCATCGCTGTCATTATTATTTAGATGTACATCATTGGAGCAGGACAAAGAATCGCAGCTTCACTTGCTGAGTCACATACCTTTCTTGCTTTGCAATCTAGCATATTTGATTTCTAGAGGTAAGTTTGATTCACACATTCTACTAGTGTTTTTGCTGTTTAATTTAATTTTTTTTGCCAGTTATTCCCTTTTTTTTGGGCAAAATGTTTTTCGTTTAAACTTTCCTGTCTCATAAATTAAACATATTGACCAATTGTTTTGATGTCCTGAAGATCGTAGAAGAAACATCAACTTAGGAGCTGGAGAGAAGGGGAAGAAGTTAATTTTAACCATTAGAGCAATGGCATATTTACAAAGCAAACTACCCTATTTATGGAGTTAGGATAACAAACTGAGTTCTAAAATCAATCTATCATATTCAAATTCAAATCAAAACTTATCTCCATAATTATTTATGAAAATATTTTTACATAAATCAATGTGGATGTAAATCTAAATCTAATCTATCATGTTATAATTCCTTTGGGGTTAAGGATCATTTTCGGGTGAGAGATAGTGGAGAATATCCAAAATCGTAAAAAATTGTAGCAAGACTTGTCATAAATCTAGAGAATATCAATAAATGCTTATAAGAGACATTTGTGGATGTCTAGAGATCTTCATACATCTTATTAAAGAAATTGATTTTTAAGCCTTTTTATTTTATTTTATTAATGTGCTTGATAGTGCCTTTCATTTCTATATGATGGTTTTGACTAGATCTCTGTTTTTTTTCCTGAAATTACACAAAGCACCTTAGAACTGCGTGTAGAAAAGCAGCAAAAAGCTCATAACAAAGCCTGACTTGAAACTCCTCTGGTTTTTATTGCTGCAACTTATCACCAAAATTATCTTTTGAAATCTTTTTTTTTTTAAATTAATTTTCTCAGAACTTTTCTTCAAAATTATATTTCCCTGTTACTCCATTACTTCGGATTCAGTGATTAAAAACAAAAAAGTATCATTTACCCTCTGCAGGTTTTACTTCTCATGTTCACCATAGTTCCTTCATAATGTTCAGTTTCTGCTCCAATGGATGGGGTTCAGAATGCTCTGTAGCAGAATGTTTCTTCTGCTCCACTGCTGTTTATGTCCTTGTAAAAATTCCTGCCCTGCTGTAAGTAATACAGAGCAGTGGAGCTTGGACTGATGATGCATGCATATATGGGAGAATATAATGCATTTGTTTATAGCTTAAAAAGTGATTCTTTACACCTCCATTTGATCTCATCTGGCTGTATATATATATAATCTATTTGATATTTATTCTATTTATTTTTATTTTTCTTCATTACCAAAGTCTCAATGTAAAATGGTACCAATTGAATTGGTGCTGTGTGTGGACTCCAATTGTGTCACTTTGTATTTGTTCATTGTTATATATGAAATATCTTTCTCCCAAAATGACATGGCATTGGTTTATATGCCAAAATAGTTTGTTCTGTGCATTTGGCTTACTTTCATGTTTGTTATGTAAATATGTACCACACAATTCTAATGGATCTACATATCTAACCCCTAATGTTTGATATTAATAGTTAACATGTTGGGGGTATAAATGTATGCATAAAAATGTGAATTTTGCTTGTAAAGAGTTAATAAAGTTGTATTTTTTGATGTGATGTTAAAGACTAGTGATTTGAATGTAAATATTAAATGTTAGTTATGCAAATGCATAATAATTCACATACTCCGGCCTGTTGGTTGACATCCACAGAATGAGACCCCTCAGGTTGGGGGTTCGAATCCCCTTTGGCACAATTGTCCTTAAGGGGGTGGTACTCGAATTGTTAGACATATTAGGGGTGGCTGGAGGCTTGTATAATAGCCTCTAATCATTCCTTTTATATATATTAGGTGTTATATATATATACACATACACATAATGAGGTTGATCAATGTTCATAGGAGCGGAAACTCATTTCAAGGGATTTGTTCTACAATCATATAATTCATACACCAATTTATACATTGCCTTGCTCAATTTTATGTTGAATTCATAATAAAAAGGGGCATTTACAGCATAATTTATTTGTATTTGTCTAACATCTAAACTTTACTTTTACATTGCAAAAAAATTTGAAAAATAAAATACACCTTTTCATGGATAGGTAAGGTGGCGTATTATGTAAAAAAAATTGAAGTAGATATGCAAATACATGAGAATTGAGTGGTATGTATGTAAATCTTCCTAATATAAAAGAGTCCAAGGAGTCATTCAGATCATTCAGTGTATTTTAAAACCCCCCCCCCCCCCAAATATATTGACACATTTTTCCTAGGAATTTAGGTATTATATGAAAATTATGTATATTAGATATTTTATAGGTCAAAAAGACAATTGGGAGTGTAGATTGTCAAAGATCATTTTTCTCCTGCTTTCATAATCAATAAACGGCCGAGGGAGATGTTAAGAGGCAAGCAAATAAATTTGGCATTTCTTTTTTTATTTTTTTATTTTTTTTTAAATAGATTTGAGTTTAAAATGGTTAGGAAATATATTTTAAGTATTTAAATGGTAGGAATTAGTAGATTAGAGCTCGCTCATTATTAATTAATTAATTAATATTTTTTTTATATTTTTATAAATATTTGATTAGTAAATGAATAAAATTTTTCAAATAATAAATTATAGTATTTGCTGATAATATCTTCATATAAATTAAATTAGATAAAGAATATATTTTAAATTCAACCATTTTTAACAAAATACGTTAAAAATTTTAAAAATATTATGAACTATATATATATATAGCTTAAACAGGTGTCGCATACCCCAACCTATTGGTTAGCAACCTCGATATAAGACCCGTCAGGTAGGGGGTTCGAATCATCTCTAACAACGTGAGCTTTAAGAAGATGGTACTCAAATTGTTACGCAAATTAGGAGTGGGGTCAGACGCTCGTATAATAGCCTCAGGTTTTTTTTTTTTTTTTAATAAATAGCTTTAAAATGTTATATTACAAAATTAATAAAAGTAAAGTATAATCACAATAGTTATATACAACAAATTATAAATAGAAAAAAACAGAGTCATCCAATAGTCTCACTCAACATTGGCTACACCAACATTGTTGTGAAGGATGTGAAGGTTGTGGGCATTTGGCCTCTCAAGACATTTTGTTAGTCTCACTCAACATTGGCTACACCAACATTGCACTTCTTAAAAGGAATTTTATTTTACATGTGAGACCATTTTGGCCACTACAAATAATTGGGAAGCCTTAATTGCATAAATAAATCCTGATGGGAGATATATAATTTAATAATTTTATTTTTCATAAAAGAATATCAACATTAAACATAAAATCCTAATATTATTATCAAAACAATAACCAGTGGACCCCATTTTAGGAGAAATATTTGCGTACGGAATCAGGATTAAATACATTTTAGATTATTCGGATGGTACAACTAAGTTACACTTAGGTTACAAGAAGAATTATAAGAAAGTATAACTTAACTGTAACCTAGTTATACCCTCCGAATAACCTAAAATATACTCAACTCTGCGTACACTCTCCATATGCAAATATTTCTCCCATTTTATACGCCAAGGATTCATAACAAGCTTTGATAATAATATGAAGGGGCATTTACTTGCATACCACACAATTCTTATATAATTACATATCTAATACCTAAACTTTCATATTTACAAACATAACGCTCAAAATTTTTGACAATAGATATAAAATACAACTATCCCTAGCTTTTTAAAAGTGAAATACACACTTAACGCTCAAAATTTTTGACAATAGATATAAAATACCACAATCCCTAGCTTTTTAAAAGTGAAATACACACCTTTGCATGCATAGGTTCTAACACCGAAGTATTATAAATGTAAATATCAAATCTTGGGAGTTAGATGTGTAAATAAAGAAGACTCGTGCGGCATGTATATAAATTTCCCTAATATCAATTTTTTATAATAAATGCTTATAACAATGCCATAATTTCAGCAAAACTCTACACAACCATAATGAAAATACCCATATATTCATCAAAATAGTACAGCCTTTTTAAAGCTATTAAAATCATTTTCTTTCTTTAACAAAAAAATAATACCTGGCATCTCAACGTGTGGTTCACACCTCACAACCTATGTTTTATAACCTATCAATGACAGAGATTCTCTCAAAAAAAGAGACATGCATAAAATATTTATTAAAAAAAAAAAAATTTGAATGATTATAAATAAAGAGTTAAGAGGAATGCATTTCCAAATAAAAATATAATATTCACAGGGTAGAAATTACCTGAGCTATTGATGATTGAAATATATCAGACAATGCTAGCAGCACCTCCCGCGAGCCATGTTCGCAGCGAAGAAGACCAACCAGTAACGGGAAAATGGGTTTCAGGTTTCGCCAGAATGCGTCGCCGTCGAGCTCACTCAATGCCTTGATGGCCAACACAACAAGAGGAGTTCTGGCAGCCAGTTCCTCTCTTTTTGATGAAACCAAAGGTATAATTCTCTGCAACTTGATGAGCTCTTTATCTGTGGATTGTTTTTCTGATTCATATCCAGCACAAGTTAAGTAAATATTTAACATTTTCTGGCATTCTGAAGCAATAAGAGATACAAGGCATATTTCTTCTGGGACTGGAACGTTATCTCTGAGCATTTTCTTAAGTAGTTTGAGATAATTCTGATGGCATTCGTTCTCAAAATGGACAGCAGGTGGCTCGGGAATCTCCAGTAGGGAGCATAATCTCTCCAGCTTCTGGAGCAAGGTGGTGTGGGAGTTCAGTTCGCTTGAATGGGATGCGATGGATGAAAGTATGCTGAGGAAAATGGCGAAGTGAGCAGATGAGAATGCTTTTCGATGCGCCTCGTATAATTTTTGGATGGCCTGTAGAGGGGAATGTGGTTGCAAATAAGTTGATGATCGAAATAGATTTGCAATTGATTGAGTGAAAGTTGGACAGAAATGTTTCGATGTATTTAAGAACACAAAATGGAGCACCATTACTGATTTACCAGAGTGATGCAATGGGAGATATTTACTGTCCCAAATTATGAGCCTTTTTGTTCATTATTTGGCTTGTCAATTCATATATTTTATCAGTGGTCTTTAGTGGCATGCCATGCCATCATCACTGTCATGATTAAGAAAATTGACCTGTTACTTTAATATTTGTTGGGGGTACGGTGATTAATTGGCTCTTAGCGGAGGTAGACTGGCTATAAATATATATCTATTAATGCAAATCTGTTGCCTTGTGTAATTGATAAGGATTGAATAAGTAAATGAAAATATAGGTTTCCCCAAGCATATTCTTTTTTAGATGATCAGTCCCTATTTCTCCTAGCCTTGAGGCTCTTCTTGTCCATTTTTTACACTTAAATTCAATCTCCTGTTCTTCTAACAATCTCATTTTATATAATTGTAATAGCATTGAACTCTCATCATCGAGATAGTATCTATTTTAGCCTAATGCCCTCATGATATTCTCTTATTGATATAAATATCCAAGAGGTCACCCATCCTAAGAGTGGTCCCATACAAGCCTGCTTAACTAAAGAGTTTCAGAATTTCCCCCATTATAGAACTAACATACTCATTAGTTTTTTTAACCCAAAAACATCTACTAGGCACATATGATTGCAGAGGTAGCCCTTACAGATCCAAGAGGCGGCTCCCACCATGTAACACTTTGTTTTTTCTAGGGTTCAAGAGATGACACTCATGGCATAACACTTTATATTGTATTAGGTTGGTTTATGCTCTGATACCATTTGTAATGGCCCGAGCTATTATCCATCAATATATTATATGTTTAAGCCTAACAGCCTCACAATTTTATCTCATTGGTTTAACTTCTCAGGAGGTTACACATCCTAAAAGTGTTCCCATTCAAACACGTTTGCCATCAGAGTTTTTGATAAAATTTTACTATTACATACAAAAGTGTCTCGATGTTTAAGAGTTTAGTTTCATTTTACTTAAAGATTCACAATCATCCCCACTTAAGTAATCGACGTCCTTATCAGTTTTCTCAACCTAAAATCATCTACCAGGGTGATAGGATTCAACTGGTGGCTCCTCCACCATGTCGTACTTCGACTATTCTAAGGTTCAAGAGGTGACTCTCATGCATAACACTTTATTTTGAATGATACTTAGTTCCCATCTTCGGGATACCATTTGTAATGACCTAAACTCTCAGCCATCGAGATACTATCTGTTTTGACCAAATGGCCTCACAATTGCTCACCCATATTGAAATTGCTCCCATCATGTTTAACGTTGACTTTTCTAATAATATTCCAACAATAACACCAAAAAGAGCCTTAATGTTTGAAGAATTCAGCTTCATTCTAGTTAAGAGATTTTAGAATAATAAAAGCATAAAATCAGTTCCTTTGTAACCATGAATACAGACCAATCTTGCAAAGATATCTTTCCATAGTTGATGATAGTGTTCTTGATGATCAATGACGTAAGTCTTCTATCCATATTGTTAATGAAAAAATTATTTTTTTTTTCACGATCCGACTCGGAGGCTTGGAATTTTCAAAATGAGAATGGACGATCTAATGGAGAATTTAAATTTTTTATATTCAATTTTCTATTTCTAACGGTTTACAATCCATATAGTAATTGAAAGAGTCACTAAAAAAATAATTTAATTAACTAAAAATTTACCTTTTCAGTTGTTGATCTTGCATTTTGTGACACTCATGGCATAACACTTTATATTGTATTAGGTTGGTTTATGCTCTGATACCATTTGTAATGGCCCGAGCTATTATCCATCAATATATTATATGTTTAAGCCTAACAGCCTCACAATTTTATCTCATTGGTTTAACTTCTCAGGAGGTTACACATCCTAAAAGTGTTCCCATTCAAACACGTTTGCCATCAGAGTTTTTGATAAAATTTTACTATTACATACAAAAGTGTCTCGATGTTTAAGAGTTTAGTTTCATTTTACTTAAAGATTCACAATCATCCCCACTTAAGTAATCGACGTCCTTATCAGTTTTCTCAACCTAAAATCATCTACCAGGGTGATAGGATTCAACTGGTGGCTCCTCCACCATGTCGTACTTCGACTATTCTAAGGTTCAAGAGGTGACTCTCATGCATAACACTTTATTTTGAATGATACTTAGTTCCCATCTTCGGGATACCATTTGTAATGACCTAAACTCTCAGCCATCGAGATACTATCTGTTTTGACCAAATGGCCTCACAATTGCTCACCCATATTGAAATTGCTCCCATCATGTTTAACGTTGACTTTTCTAATAATATTCCAACAATAACACCAAAAAGAGCCTTAATGTTTGAAGAATTCAGCTTCATTCTAGTTAAGAGATTTTAGAATAATAAAAGCATAAAATCAGTTCCTTTGTAACCATGAATACAGACCAATCTTGCAAAGATATCTTTCCATAGTTGATGATAGTGTTCTTGATGATCAATGACGTAAGTCTTCTATCCATATTGTTAATGAAAAAATTATTTTTTTTTTCACGATCCGACTCGGAGGCTTGGAATTTTCAAAATGAGAATGGACGATCTAATGGAGAATTTAAATTTTTTATATTCAATTTTCTATTTCTAACGGTTTACAATCCATATAGTAATTGAAAGAGTCACTAAAAAAATAATTTAATTAACTAAAAATTTACCTTTTCAGTTGTTGATCTTGCATTTTGAAAACATTTTCTCCCAACATTCATCTTTTATTTAAAAGTTTAAACATAAAGAAATATTAAAATAACATAACGAGTCATCTAAGATAACTCAAAGGAGCAATTACACTTCGAAACTATAGTAACATAAGTATAAAAATTCAATATTTATATACTAATTTTTCATAATTCAATATAGAAAATTATATAAAATCTATATGTATTCATGGCATTTGCTCAATGAAAATAATCTAGAATTAGATATTCATTAACTAAGCTTTATATTTCAATGTTTAATCTTTAACTTCATTATACTTCATACTCTTAATTTTTACATTCGTCTAAACATAACCTAACACACCTCCGATCGATACATATCTCATCGACAAATCGGCGAAAAAACTAGGTTTATTATTATCTGAGGTCGAAAGATACCTACTCAACCCTGACCGATAATCTTCCATCGAGACAGCGGTTCCTGATTTAAATTACATAATTATTTGAGGTGATTAAATTTCTACTCACCCTTGACCGATATTCTCTCATCGGCATAACAATTTATGATTTAAATTTCACAATTATATAAAATAGTTACAAAATATTTACGCGCACGGATACATTGACATCTCAATCAACACATACAAAAATTCATACATACAAACATTCATATACACAATATTCATATATACAAACATTTATATATACAATATTTTCATTTCATTCTTTTAAACATATATTATTTTCTAATGAGATAATTTGTATTTATCTACCAATGAATAAGTGCACATTTACTAAAATCTAAAGGTCATGCAATAATGTAATATATGTACCTTTACAAGAATCTAAAAATCGTGTAATACTTTATTTTCTATTTAGAAAAACTAATATGCAACAATTTATGCAGCATTATTAACACACATACTTCATATAGATCACTATAAATAATTAGTTGTAATCTAAGTCTCAATGGTATAAAGCATAAATATGAAAAGGTGAAATCAGAAATACATATAAAAATGAGAAAGAAGATTGAATTTAGAAACATAATTACTTACATCAAATTCAGAAGATTCCATAGTCTTTATGTTCCATCACCACTTCTTTAATATAAATACCGATATTCAAATGTTTTTGTTATTTTTTTTCTAAATCATAATTTAATTTCATTATTTAATATAGTTCTTGCTCTTCATTTATTTTAATTACTTAAACAATTTATTATTTACACATGCTTAACATAGTCCTAATTTGTTTTTACCATAATTTAAAGATTTATAATTTTTAGTGCATTAATGAGTCCTTAATACTGTTCTAGAACTCCTAGAAGGTATTTCGAAAAAAATATTTAGCTGTGAGGTGTTATGGAATAGCGAGGGAAGGTTAATGTGTGGTCAACTGTGTTTGGAAGGGATTGCAGAGACAAATATACTATTGGATAGCAGGTTTGACGTCGCCATTGACTGTGCTGGCTAAAATCCGCAAGTTGGACAAAGAAATGGCGTGATATGGGCGGTGAGGAGGTTCCACCCTTATTCCTAAGCAAGATACATATGCATCACTTGCAAAAGGAAAAAATACAACCCTATCCTAAAAATCAGAGATTACAATTTCCATAACACTTAAAAAAATCACAAGTCTCCCAAAACAACAAAAAAACACACATAAATAGGTCTCTAATAGAAATCAACCTTAAATAACAATAAGAAAATGGGAAATAAAAAAAATGGCAAGACTGTTGCAAAAATAGTGAATTGGATGTGAACTTGCCAGTTCAGCCCTCCTGCAATCGCAGGAGGCCCCATTTCCTCAGTATCGTAAAAATCAAGCAATCAAGATTGCAGGATCCATGATCCTGTGATTCTTTCGTTGTTCCGACGTCAGTGCTATCATTTCATTTTCATTATTTAATATTAATTATTCTTTGCTTAATTATTAATCTTACAGAAAATTAAAATTCAACCCATAATTTATTTTTTAAAAAATTAATATATCAACACTCCTAAAATGTACTAATTATCATAATTACATTAATGTTAAATCTATTTAATCCATAGTCAAATTGTCAAATTACTTCAAATCATCAATTAATATTTTATTTATCTCTCCTCAAGCCATAATATGAATATTCGTTAATCCCTGATTTACATTTTAATAATAATTAAATGTTATATAATTCATCAATATGTAAATAAAGGAAAATAACCCTAACCATATAAACTTTTGGTTCGACCCCTTCTCCTATACCTACACGTAGACCCCCCTTTCCTCCTCTTCTGATTAAACCCGCACATGACACATCCAAGACTCCTGCACTCTCCTTAGATTGGTTTTCTCAATTCTCATGTATCCAGAGCCTCTCCTCCTTCCTTCGTACACAACGCCACTAAACTAGATCTTGTCCTCATCACGCTCAGATCAATCCCGTATCTAATCACGCTCGACCTGACAAAGCCCCTTGAGCATGCTACTGCATCATCAACCTCAAGCGAACACCACGCTCAGATCAATCCCGTATCTAATCACGCTCGAATCAACCCTGCATTCCTTCTTGCACCTGACAAAGCCCCTTGAGCATGCTACTGCGTCATCAACCTCAAGTGAACAAGCCAACACCACGGACAACGTCGATTCCCTGCATGAAACTCAAGTATTTCACTTCTTCTTCTTCTTCCTCTTCTTCTTCTTCTTCTTCTTCTTCTTTTCTCACTCACCCTCGCTTCTATCTCAAGCTCCCGTCTCGCTCGTCTTCGCTATTTCGTCAGATTCAAAAGAGCTGCTCCATACTTGAGAAAAAAACCCTTGAGATGGTTGGTTCGAACTGATTCCATTAGTTAGGAATTAAAATTAATTAATTAAATATTTATTTATTTTATACAAATATTACATTTTGCCTCACCTTTTCTTTGCTGAAAAAACTCAAAAAGTTTCCTCCAAGTGCTGCTCTCAACGCTTCGTTTGAAAAATGAACTTGTCTAAACGAAGAGAAAAAAGCGGTAAGGTCCAGTGACTAGCTTTTCCTCCAAGTGCTGCTCTTAATGCTTCGTCTGAAAAGGTTAATAACACTAGCATTGCCACCTTCAACAATAATCCCCTTAAGCTCGTACATCCATACCACAATAGAGTGTTTAAGTGAGAGAGTAGCACAACCTGATTCCAAAAGGTTAACTAACCCCATGATCCTCAACTTATTCTTCTCCATCTCCATTTGGAGTCAAAACGAGCGCACAATGAAGGTAGAAAGGCCGCTTCAGAACTCAAAGGGGGATCAAGGGAGCTTAGGGATCAAAATTTCACAAAATAAAGAAGCTGGATTTGAAGGAAGAAAGTCGCTAATTGAGAGTAGCTCGCCCATTTTCCAACTGGTTGAACTGGCCTGACTTTAAAAAGCTCAGATGGGTTTGTTATGATTCTATGCTAGAGAAATCCTTGAGAGTCAAATTGATAAAATAAGACGCCACCTCCCAACCAATCCAAACTAATTTTAACATCACTTGTGGATAGATACTGTCCCATTACAACTTAAATACTTGAAACTTATTGAACTAGAAATTAATGGATCTGCAACAAAGAAAAAAGACCATATGATTTGGTTGATTGATTTTTGACAAGAACCAAGAGGAGAACCAACATCTTTACGTTCATGTGCTTCCCATCTCTCCTAGTGGTTTAATAAATCACTACAACTCGGATTGGATGTCTCTACAAAAGAACTTCTGCTACCATTTGGCCTACAAAAAGGATAGCCCTACTTTCCAAGCTTGCTCGAAAAGCTTTGAATCCAAACAACAAAAAATCCAACACACTAGTGATCCAAGTAATACTGATCTTCATTGTGCTTGGATAAATCGCAGCTTTGCAGAAACGCACTGATAAGCCATGGCTTGTATAATGACCCAAAGAATCTGGAGCCCGGGTTTTATTTTCTTGCACAATACAAAATATTTTCATGGTGTCTGAGATTCATTTCAAACTGCAGAACAGAATAAACCAGAAATAGATGGAAATCCTTAGTCCCAAGTCTAGTTTCTAGTTAAAAAACCAAAACGAATCCTGGTTTTAATGACTGCTTATTACTGGAAATTGCATTCAACTATAATGACAGTTCTAACAAGAAATTAATGCCCTTTAATATCGAAGGGTAAGGGAAGTTTAGATCTAACTCCTAATTAATAAACCAATATTAGATAAAAGTATAATGCTATCTACATAGCAAATTCTGCATAAGAAACTGATAACAAACTCAACATGCAAAAATTATTGTCATTAAAGAAATAGTTGGAGGAACAAAAAAGAATATTATTAGTTATAACAAGTAATACAGTAACTTTAGATCGGCATAGTTCAGCAAAGGAATTGTTCAAAGAAATTCCGAAGGAACAAGTTTTATATCTAAAGTGAAACTAAGACTATAAACATTTGACAAACAAATAATGTGAGAAGTATGCTCAGAATACCTCAATGATTGAAAATAGCACAGCTATATGGTCCTTCAATTTCACTATAGCGTACGATGTCTTTTCCATATTAGCATCCTCTTCATCATCAAGGACAGATCCCTGATCCGAACAGTCTCCAGTGTCAGAGTACGATTGAAATCTACTTGGTATTTCAATTTTATTCATGGCTTCGACAACTTGCTTAGCTACAGGAAAAGAAGATGCAGCTGAATTATGCAGAGCCAACAATATCTGTCTCCATTCTGTTTCTGAGAGATTTCTTCCAAGATGCTCAGTCAACAGCAGCAAACAAGCCACACCAGTGCTCGAAGACTGTCGATAAGGACTTCTTATATAACTGGATAGAATTTCAACTACTTGCATGAATTGAGAGCGCACAACATCAAAAAATGCTACAAATAAGTCAACCAAGCATCCTGCTGCCACTGCTCTTATTTCAGCATTAGAAGGTTCTTCCCCAAGTTGCTCATAATAATCTTCAGATGTGACTTGATAATCATCATGAATTTGAGGCTCTTTCAAAATTGGATATATGGCAGATTTGAAAATGTTGATTAAAAAGGTGCTTGAGAAAAGATGTCCATGGTCCTTTAAAATGTGAAACAGAACCTCCAAAGCACCTTTTCTAATAATTCTCCTCGGATCTGAAGTCAATTTGGACAACCCTGAAAATGGAGTTGCAGTAAGATTTAATTCCAAAATTGGGATGATTAACAAAACTCGATAAAGGCTGCAGGAAAACTTGAAACTTTAACAATGCTTTTACCAGCAAGCAAAGGAACCCAAAAGTAAATATGATTATCTTTGCATTTTGAATTATTTGAATCAGAGAGATCCCCATTGGCATGATTGCATTCATCGTTTTCGTCATAACAAACGAGTCCACCTTCAGCAAGTTTAACGGCACAGAAGCGAAGAAAAGCAATAGCATTAAGGCTGGCGTCACTATTGAATCTACTATTTGTGAAACCGATGAGACACTTAACACAGTCTGTAAAAGTTGTAGTCTCAGTCTCAGTTATGTAACGAAAATAATCTCGAACTATTTTCTCCATTGTTTCAAAAGCTAAGAGGACAATATTTTTTCGTTCATCGGCAGCAGCAATAGTAAATATCTAAGAAAATTTGAAAAGAACCACTAAATATTCAGAATTTCATTTTCTTAGCATAGAATAAAAAATGATAAGAATAAGTCAAAAGACATTTAAATTAAAAGAAGTGGCTTACGAAGATCTTACCGTAAAAACACTTTTCCATCCAGACTTCACATTACTAACTCTAGTCAAGACCATCTGAGAAATACATCTAACAATCAACTCCCTGGTTTCTGAAGAAGTACTTTTCTGCATGATGACTACAAAAGGTCTCAAAAATTCATTCTGAAAATTATAGTTTGCTAACTCCTCTCTTTCAAGGAACTTCATTGCCAACTGCCGTAAAGAATCCATTACAAAAAATACAACTGAAAGATTTTCTGACAAACCGACTGATACGAAAAAATCAGAAAGAACACTCCAAATGCGAGACCAAACTAATCTGATGCGATTCATATTATAATGCCTGCAAGTATGTAGAGAAATTCCGTTACAATTTATTTTCATTTACCTAGTACAGTGTGCAACAAAATTTCATTAGAAGAGAAAACTTACGCTATTTCTACTAATTTGGTGAGGCTGAAAACCCTAGGATCAGTAGGGGACTGCAATTCTGACATGGAAACCTTACAAAGGGCTCTCACAAAAGCTACTATAGCATCACCATTCAATCTTTGACTATGGGCAAAAATATGGTTCAGCTCAAAGCTTCCAATCTGGTCTAGTAAAAGTATGTTTGAAATAAAGTTGTTTATCTGCTCCGATGAAACCAGCCCTGCACTATTAGCTCCCACTGTCGCGCTATCATATGAACCTCCGCGAACAACAGCCATTACAGCTGGGTTTTGAAGAGCATTTCCCTTTTTCTTCAAATTGGCGGCTAGATGAGACTTCTGTGACTTATCATCCAAATCTGGGAGCGAAGCAGAGAAAAATGAAGCATCCGGTGGTGCACCATCCCCTAGCAGGAGTAGATGTTCAAACCGTGAAAGACAAGTTAATATATGCTCCCATGCTTCTTGCAAATAATCCCCATCCTCAATCGCAATTGACATTATAGCCTAATTAAAATGTGAAATGATGAAATAAGTTTCCTTTCCCTGGAAGTGCCTAGCATTACAAAGAAATTAAACATTATACGGCTATTTACATACTTACGACCCAATTCCTATGTATACATATCTAATACCTAAATTTTATTTTTTTACATTTACACCACCTGATTTTCTCTAAAAAATACCACCATTTTAACTTTTAAAAAGTGAAAAATACCTTTTTGAGCATGTGTAAAATGACGTATATGTAAAAATTGATGTATAGATATTAGATATGTAAATAAATAAGAATAGAGTGGTACTTAAGTAAATCTTTCAACATTAAATAGCTAAATCGGGATCCATTAGAAATGATATCTAAAATCCACTACACATCATTGGTTGTAGAGAGCAGCCTTTTGGCATCAGTTCCTATATCATACAATCTATGAATTAAATTTATTCAAGTTTATGTCCGTTGAACCAGCAACCTTTGAAAATCATTAACTTACCAAAATGTCCTTGCCATACCAGCAGTTACTTTCCTCCACATTATATCAGTACAAAAAGTTGCAGGAAACAATCAAACACTTCTACTTTGTGCAAAATTTAAATTTACATCTTTCAAGATTTTACAAGAGAAACATAGTTTAATTCTTACCATGTTGAAGCTGTTCATTTACATCCTATTAAACAACAAATATCAAACCACCATAGAAATGCAATAACAAGAAAGATGACCACTTCGCGAAGAGCAAAGCACAGTCAACAGCATAAAGAAAATAATTAAGCACTACACACGAACAAAAATAAACACAGAAGAGATAGAAGAAACGCAGTCATGAAGCATAATGAACAAGTAATTTTAGCAACAGCAACAACAAGCCTTATCCCACTAAGTGGGGTCGGTAAAAAGAAAAAAATGAGCAGGTCATTTTAGCATAAAGAAAAATGAGCAAAGCAAAAGAACAGAAAATGGCACAATTATTAATCGAACCAACAATGAGAGCAAGTCATAATGGATTTCAGGTGGAAAAACCCTGCCAAATAGTCATGGAATTGAAGTGATGGTAAGCTTCTGATGGTCACCATCCTTCCCACTTTAATCTAACTTGGTTTACTTCGGTAAAACTCACAGGATGCAAGTTTTACAAGGGTCAGGACCTGGCCAAAAAGAAAAGGGTTTAGCTTCTATTTAGTAGTATTTATCATTCGTTGCATTCCATATCAATCATTACCGCATTCTAGAATAATGGATGTTGAAATTCTACTACAATCATAACATAGAACGCAAGGGCACACAAATTAAGGCTTTGTATCATCGAATTTGTTACCCTAAGCAAAAAACTCAAGAAATATGGACCAAGAATTTGTACTGTTGAATCAATTTCCCTTAATTTTAATTTGAGTGCTTTCCTGTAGGATCGCCGGCACTTAATTTTTTTCCCTCCTTTTTTTGTATTATTACTATTTTGTAATGCTTCTAGGAGATGCACATATACCTACCATCTCGTACAAAGAAAACAATAAGAGTCTTGAGAGTTTTTTTCCATATTATTATTTTCTACAATGGATATATGCATTCTAGAATAATTGCCATAAAACTCAACTAGTCGAAAATAAATTTCATTTGTATTTGTATGCCAACATCAATGGGTTTTCAATTGTATGTGCTCTTTTCATTCTTCTACCTCCATCTTTGCAAACACCATTCATACCTCCAGCCATTATGATCTTATGTTCCAACTCCAAATTCTTTCCTGTGTGAGCAACATTTCCTGCTATAAAAATGGTTTTAAGTTTCAGCGGCTCATATGGGTTTTGGTTACAGTTAATCCAAAAGTCATTACTCCTTTCGGTTTTCAGAGCTGTGGTTGAAACTCGGGTTTTAGTCAAGTCGCTGACCAAACTCAAAAGTTGCAATGCTCATGATTTTTGAATGAGAACTCCTAGTCTTGATTGTGACGCATTGACACGATAAGCGAAATCCGTGCATGTTTTTCTCAGCGTGACAGGAAAATTGTAAGTGATGCTAGCAACTCAGTGGGGGCAAACCTGGTGCCCACATTTCTTAGCACAGTGAAAAAATTAATATATTGCAAAATTTTCATCACTCCATGTGCAACTTTCTTGCTATGGTGGATTTTGAAGATTACGGTTGTGGTTTCTCACAACACCGACCATGCTCACCTGTCTTAGCATGATGGACCGGCACATACCCTCATCATAGCCTCCGTACATGAGGTTGATGATGAAAGACCACTAAGTATCAGATTGGCAAGACGGGAACTAACTTATTAGTATTAGCTTAAACTGAAATGTAAAATGACAAGATTGATAGAAACTATTTAAATGAGTACTCATGCGCACTTTTCTTTGCGCAACAATGATATTCTATGCTCACAAACTTTTCAAGCACATACCTCAAAAAAGTCTTTCTTAGCATTGTGAGTTTTGAAGACTATGATCGTAATGTCTCACGACACTGATCATGCAAATATTTCTTGGTGTAGTTGGCAGACCCAGCTCTCCCAATATAGCCCTTCAAAAGGGACATTGCCGGTAGATTGGTAAAATTTTTAATTAAAAAACTAAAAATAAAGCAGAGTTGGAATGGGCATCTGAACTTTTTAATAAAACCAAAAGAAGATATAATTTTAAAATCATAATAAAGATGTCAAAGCACATTGGAAAAGCTTTGCAGGCCACACTAAAAGAATTAAAACTGAACATAATTAAAAAACTGATGACTTGCAATGAATTTTGGTAACTCGCTTTCAAGCCAAAATAGGAATAAATACGATGAATTAGCAAATACTTGAATCCTTATTATTGAGCACAAACCAAATCTCATCAAATATTCAAGAGTTCAACAATTATGGGCTCAATACAAAAGATTATAACATGCCAATGTAAAGTATATAAAAAAAAAAAGTTAAGAAAGATTTACTAGCATGCCACTCAGATCTTGATGCATAGTCAAATTGTAGATTATGATAAAATCGCATGTAAATAAATAGGCCAATATGAGATAACAACAACAAGAATTAACCCTTTCTTTATACCCGATTTGAATTGTGCGAGAGAAGAACAATAAGATGGCTTCAACTTAGACAGATTGAAATTCTGATTCTCTTGAAATAGAGCACCAGTGCCGATTTTCACCAGGGAGCCGCAAAGCTTAACAAAAGTAGGAAAAAAAAAAAAAATTTCGTGTCTTCGTACCTTGTAATCTCGCGTTGCAATCCCGTCGTGGCCTCCTAGCAAGCTTCACTCGGATTGCACTGAGGATTTGGTTGGCAGAGTGGATGCGAAGCAGGCGAGCGCAAGTTTCTATCGCGCAAGGAAGAAGCGAGGGTTTCCTGTGCGAGCAGAATTTGTCGAGAGCAAGGAAGATTCCGTCGCAAGCGAGCAGGAAGCCGACGAGGGTGAGCGAGAGTGAGGCGAGGTTTTCGGTATAGAGGAGGCGAGCGAGGAAGGAGTCGAATTTGGATCGCAGAGGATGAGGTGGAGCGGGAGCCTCTGTCGAGCGGGGAAGCGAGCAGGCGAGTGGGAAGGGTTTCTTCGTCGCAGGGAGGAAGCAAGCAGAGAGCGGGAGGCAAGGGTTTTTTTTGACGAGCGTGAGAGGACAACAGGAAGGAGGAGAATCCACGAGCGGGAGAAACGAATCCAAAGCATTCGGTACAGAAGAGAAGAAGAGGAGGGGCTTCCTTGCGTGAGGCCGAGAGCTTCGGCGCTGAGAAAGGAAGGAGTTTGATTGAGCAGGAGTCTCCGAAAGGAGCAGGCGTCGAGCAGGGTCGAGCGGCTCTTCTGTGGCGCGCGAGGGGGAAAACGGGATTCGAGCGGGGATTTCCTTCGATGCCGAGGGAGGGAGACGAGCGGGAGAGAGGAGCTCGGGGAAGGCGAATCAAGCCGACCGCAGAGAAAGAAGGCCCGCCTTCCTTTTAGAATTCGAGCGGGGTCAATAGCCGTTGCTCTGGCGGGGAAATTAATGAATTCCAAATCGAGGGAGGATTAAATGAGAATAATTAACTCCTGAATTAATTTTAATTAAGGCAGCATTTAAGAAGTTTATTTAAATTTTGAAATTTGAATTTCAAATTCAGGTGAGCTGGTACCTAGCCCGAGTCCACCCTGAATCGAAGCCGAGTCAAACCTGGGTTGAGCCTCGGCCCACGCATCGTTAAAAATGTGCATCGATTTTCGTGTAGTTCGCGCGAGTGTGGAACTACAGCAATATGGGTGTCTTTTCTAGCTAAAATCGACATTCCGGACGAAACTAAAATTACAATATTAAGCTCCCATTCGGCTCTCTTCTTAATAAGAAATTAAGTTAGCAAAACTGAACAATTTGATTCTCCTCTTGATAAGGACGAAGTTGACAAGATTGAACTCTGCTTTAGCCAATATGATCCTCCTTCTAACAAAGATTGAACTAGACAAGACATGAGTCCCCACTTCAACCAGTCAAATCTTTCTTCAAGGATAGTGCTAACAAGATTAAGTCTCTACTGAGCTAATTCGATCCTCCTTACAATGATGTGAATTAATAAAAATGATATCTTAATGATATTTAAACAATAACTTTCAATTAATAGTTACAATAATGAATAATACAAATGTTGATAATTAATAATGGTTGTGTTGATTATGAATCTCAACTTGAGAGGACTATTCACAAAATCTATTTAAGTATCATGGCTACACTGGTACAACACCAATATAGCCATGTACTTTCTTCAACTTCTTCCGACTGATTAATTCGATTCTGATCGTAGGAGCTTTGCACTGGAAGAAAGTGTCGCTTTACATCAACAGCAATTCACAGATCATGGTTAAAATTAAGAGCAAGCACAAGGGGCTCTGTCAAAGAAGTGAGTTGTTGAAGCATGATGTGCTTAATCGATTAAGATACTTAATTTTTCCCATTTTCTGGTGAATTTACATACACAGCCTCCAATTCTTATGCATTGACGTATCACACATCAAAACTCTTGTTTTTACAAGAAACTATTCCATACAGAGTACGTACGCAACTCTGCGTGCAGACTCCAGTAATACCCGCTATGTGTGTTATATCGAGCCCACCTAAAAAAAATTAAAGTAAAACCACATATATTATTGAAGTGGAACCGCGAAGATTATTTGAAAGGGTTATTGAGGCATTAACTCCAATAACGCCACAACAAACACTCAACAACCCCCCAATAACCCCCCGATAACCTCCATGATTCGACCCAATAACCACCCAATAATCTCCGCATGTTTTACCCCTGCTAACCCCCCAATAAGTCCCTCATAATAACCTCCACGTGGTGACATATTATTGAAGTCCGCACGCAAAGCTACGTACGTACTCCGTATGGAATGATTTCTCCTTTTTTACAAGCCCAACACCCAATTCATACTTTTCAATAACATTAAAATGGTGAAATTCACATTTTCATACATTGTTAAGGTGTTAGGTTTGTAAAAATTCAAGTTTTGATGTGAGATATGTAAATGCATAAGAATAGCGTATGAAATTTTCTATTTTTGTAAAGATTCAAATTTTAAGAATTTGAAAGTTTGCTGGTTCAGGTGTTATTCATGGTGTATTTGATGAAGAACTGGAATGGAGTGGGTTGGAGGGGAAAGATGGAGGAATTGGAGTTAGTTTCGATCTGAGAAGAGCCGAAGGGAACAATGTGTTTGTTTGTGCGAATGGATTTGGTAAGCAGAAATGGGTGGAGGCGGTACAGAATCTTCTTCGACAAGCTAATGGGATAGGTGATGGGAACTGTAGAATAGGGCGTTTTATGTAACCGCTTAAGATCATCGGTAGAGATTTTTTATGTTTACATAGTTTTATGTTTTAAATGTGAAGGAATGTGAGGACTCTAATTTAACAAGTGGATGAGTTCTGTGTTAATTTTGAGCGATGCATATCTGACGCAAAACTTGGATGAATATTGGATGTACATTCGATGCTTGATTTTGATGATGTTAGAGGGAGTTTCAATATGACAAGAGATATGGTGGTTTCGACTATGAGGTATAATAAAAACTATACATATATTTATAATTTTCTAATTCTCGTATCATATTTACTCAAAATTGTGCTAAGCTCGCATCCCATGTGGCATTGAGGTGAGTTTCGGCGTGTCCAAGCCTGAAAAAAATTCAGACATATAATTTGTAGTGTTGGAGAAGCGTCATAGCATGTTGAACAAGTGTCGGTGTCTGATACGTGTCTGACACGGGCACAACATATTTTTAGAAGTGTCAGTGCCTATTAGTAAAAAACAGTCTGTGATTGCCCGGAGCAGTGTTGAAGCTGAATTCTGGTTCATGTCATTAGGGATCTGTGGAGCCCTCTAGTTACGCATCATGCTCCGCAAACTTTGTATGTCAAACTCTGTCCTGTTGTAGTTATTCTGTGATAATAAGACCGTTATCAGCATTGCTCACAATCCAATCCAGCATGATTGTACCAAACATGTGGAGATCCACAGACACTTCATTAAAGAAAAAATAGAGTCCGGGAAAATTTGTATTTCATTTGCGTCCTCCAGCAGTTAACTAGCGGATATCCTCACCAAAAATTTTTCTGTCTTTTGTTTGATTATTTTAAATCTAAGTTGAACATGATTGACATTTATGTTTTAACTTGAGATGGAGTATTAGATTTATAATGGTAATCCCTGAGCGTTATTACTTATTTTTAGCTTTTATTCCCTCATTATGTATTTCATATCTATTTTATTATGTTTTATTTCTTTCCTATTTATTTTATTCTGTTTTATTTTTTTCCTTTGTTGTGTCTATCCTAATTGGATTTAAATACCCCTCCTATCAATAATATCATGGTACTCTATGTTCTGAAGTTCACAATAAGTATTATAGAAACAATGGAGCTCACACGAACATGATCCTCTCCATATAGGTGGCAGAGTAGGCACAATCATTGGCCTGATAGTTGTCCACAATAAGCAAAACAATAATAATACCTCCCTGCACTCAGTTATTTTGACTTTTTCCAGGGATTTTGATTGTTACTATCAATTGTGGTCGATCAGATGATGCAAATCGGGGCTATTGGTCTCACTTTATTGAATCGAATGATTTCACCAAAGACCTATAATTCTTTAATAAGTCCAGATGACCAGGTGATAAATGCTCGATTCTCATGTTCGCTTCAATAATCGGAGAATATTGATGATCTTTAGCATTATAAAATCAATAATATCAATAAAAATTACACATATCAATGATAATCCATGTCCAACCTAGAGGCATATATAGTCTTGTTTGCAAGCAAGCACACCAAGTTCCACAGTCCAGAAAAATAAACAACCTTAGGCTTTTATTTTGCAAATTAAAACAACATGACTAGCTCTATTAGCTAACCTTATAATCAACCGAGAACAAGCGAAGCTCTACCAAGCCCATGTAAGTTGGCATATATTTTAACTTTTAAAAAGTGGAATACATCTTTTCATGCATATGTGAGGTGACATATATGTAAAAATTGAAGTATAGATTAAATTGAAGTAATAGATTTTAGATATGTAAATACATAAGAATTGAGTGGTATGGATGTAAATTTTCCAAAATGAAACCAAATTAAAAAAATTAAACATCAAACCTTGACAGCATCAACATTCTTTTGCTTCATATCAGCAGCACAATGGAGGTATGTAAATTTGGCAACTGATGTAACAAACGCATCTCTCTGTGTATGCATGAACAAGAAGGATGTAACATGAACAGAATATCGAAAGCCTAGCAAGCTCTGGGATGTGGCAGCCTTGTCATCACTCTGATCAAGAATCACACTAAAAGCGGCCAACATTGGCGCCCAGCAAACTTCCATCATATATCTTAAGATAGTTGTATCAGTGATAGAATAAAACATTGACCTGCGGTGCAAAAAAAATAAAAATTCAGTGACAACACTTTTTAAGTCATTTTCAATCTGAGAATTCCATTATTCAAACTGATCTTACTCTAATTTTCCACTTTTTTCTTTAAATTGTTCTTGGATATGTTTGATTAGCATGTCATTTGCACCTAATGCCTTTTCTTCCTTTTGCTTCCAGTTGACCAAACTGAGTATGCTATCTAAACCCAAAAGCTTGTTGATGCTGCTTGCCTGCTTGTTCGGCGGAGCTGAGTTATCAGCATTCATCTTTATTTCATTTTTCACAATTTGGTCATATAAGGGACCTAAATAGTCTTCTGGCAAATCTTTTCCATCATCTATCCCTCGATTGTTGCGGATAAAATCAGATTTTGACATCTACCATAAAAGTGCCAATTGTGTTAGAATAGTTTGCCATTTGATACAACGTACAGTTGGTCATTTCAAAAAAAAAAGGGACATTTACATACATACCACTCAATTCTTATGTATTTACATATTTAACACCTAAACTTTACTTTTCACATTTATACCACCCAAATCTTTCATATTAATAAAAAAATATCACACTTTTAACTTTTAAAAAGTGAAATGCACATTTTCATGTATAGATAAGTTAGTATGTATGTAAAAATTGAAAAAAGGTGTTAGATATTTAAATACATAAGAATTGAATGGTATGCATGTAAATCTTCTGTTGAAAAAGGAAAGCTAAGCGCACCTTGTCCTTGACCATGCTATTATGAGCATCAGTATTGAGCATTATCACCGAATACGCAAGCACATAAGCTGTATCTGCACTGGTAAAAGCAGTTGGATTGCATTTACAATAGCGCTGCGCAAACTTTTCCATGATTCGATCAATCTTCTGTGCTTCTCCAGGCAATCTAAATCCTCGTAAAAGAAACCTAATAGCTTCCCCAAAATCCATACCATCAAAGTTTAGAGAATCCACATAAGCATGCATAACTTTTAGAGGAAATTCATCCCTTTCGCCCAGAAAATCTCCAATCATTGTCGCATTTAGACCAGTTGCACTCCTTAGAAATGAAGCTACTTCCTCCGGAGAACCTCCTATCTTCTTCGTGTTAATCAGAAAGTCAATACCCTTCAAAGGTTTCCTATTAAACAGTGAAATACCTTTCTGCATTAATCAGTTCATTCATAAAATCAGTCGCATCGGTTAGCTTTCAGTTGATGTAAAAATAATAATGCGATAAAAAATACAAAACCCCAAAGAACTGCAGAAAGAAGGTGATTAATATGATACAATAAATTACCTGAAATTCAATTTTGTAGGCCCGCCTTTGCTCAAGTGAGGCGGCATCTGAAAATACAAAGTTTGTGTCGGTTTGTAGATCAAAATCCATATTAGTTCCTTCTTCGGCATTAAGAGCACTGGAGTTGTCGCTTGAATGATCCATATCAGAACTTTGTGGCGAAAAATCCTTAATTCTTAATTGTTGGTCCATCCAAGTTCCCATACATTTTACAATAGTAGCCAGGCACTTCACAGATTCAGTCTGAAAAGTAGAATCCTGAGCAGGAGACAAAGTTGTTGAGGATCCTGCAGGCACTCCTAGAGCAGTTTTCAGGAGGCCATTGACGATCCTGCAACCATCTGATGGAATTATAAGTGTTTTAATACATTTTATTAAATGTTACAAATAATAATAATAATAATAGTCCATAGAGTATAGTAAGAAAAGTGCATTCACCAATTATTTGATTACTGCATCAAAAGTGATTCATGATTGATACTAGAAACATTTACATACATACCATCCAATTCAAATGTATTTACATATCTAACACCTTACCTTTAGGTTTTACATTTATACCACCAAAATATTTCACATCATATCAAAAAAGCCATCATTTTAACTTTTAAAAAAGTGAAATGCACCTTTTCATGCATAGGCAAGTTGGCATGTATGTAAAAATTTAAGTTTTGGTGTTGGATATGTGAATACATAGGAATTGAGCAGTATGTATGTAAATCTTTCTTAATTTCTATTGAAGTCTGGTTGTATATGGATGAGGCATATCATACCTTTCGAGTATATTAGGTGCATCGACATCGCAATCATAGTTCACAAAGATATCTATGATAAGCTGCGGATCCTGGCATATCTTTTCCACGAAATTTAGGACTGTCATTTTTTGCAGGAAACTTGGCTGAACCACATTCTCAAGAACTCTTAAGACAAGCATGGGAAAGAAAATCCCAATCTCGCCTTTCAGACCAGATCTGAACTTCAACAATAAAATCATGAAAATTGAGCACAGAAGCTGGAAGACACTCATCACTGACAATGCACTATTTTTCAACAATGATAAGCAGAGGTACTGCTTGATAGCTCCAAGAAACCTGAAGAAAAAAAATAATGCTTTTAAGAAATGGCCAACAACAAAACTGCAGCACTTTATAAATTCGGCATGCTTGGATTCATTTTTGTTTTACATACTTAGCACCGAATTCTTATGTTTTTACATGTCTCACGGCTAAACTTTCATTTTTACATACATAGCACTTTGGTGCTAAACCTATGCATGAAAAAGTGTATTTCGCTATTAAACAGTGGTAATCGTGTTATTTTTAATGTGATATTAAATATTTGGGTGCTATGTGTAAATATGCAAGTTTTGGTGTGAAAAATGTAATTACATAAGAATGGTGTGCTACTTATGTAAATGCCCCTTCAGTTTTAGTTTTCAAAAATAATGATTAAATTAGAGACATGTTTGGCAACTTGTTTTCATTTCTTATTTCCTAAAACAAAAACAAAAATGTTTGTTTCCTAAGGGATTGTTTGGGATCACTTTTATTTTTTGTTTTTTGTTTTTCTTTTCGTTTTGCGTTTGCTTTTTACTTTAAAAACATGTTTGCTTAGTACATTTTTTGTATGTTTTTATTTATTTTTTAAAATAAATTAGCTTGTTTTTACAAACACTCGAAATATCTAAAAGTCATTTGGAGTATTTTTCAAAACAACTAAGCATGTTATATCATCACAAACATGTTTTTTTAATCAAAATATAAACAAAAATATATAAAAATAAGAAACAAAAATCAAAAATCAAAAGTGATCCCAAATGACCCCTAAAATTGTTAAACCAATTATAAGCATATTATCATATATATTAAATTGTGTAATGACTAATGAGGGTTGCTAAATGGATGATTAAGGTCATTATATATATAGATATGGTCAAACCGGTGGGTTGACGTTCAATTGATTATATATATATATATATATATATATATGTATTGTGAGTGTGTATGTGTGTGCACGTGTGCGCGTGCCTAGGGTGGCAAGTTGGTAGACAACTGCATTGTTAGTCGTAAGTCCCCTCTAACCCGTATTGTGAGTGTGTATGTGTGTGCGCGTGCGCGCGTGCCTAGGGTGGCAAGTTGATAGACAACTGCATTGTTAGTCGTAAGTCCCCTCTGACCCGGGTTCGATCCCTACGGGAACGGCTAGCACATCTGGGGAGATATATATATATATATATTGTGTGTGTGTGTTTCTAGTTCCATTTTAGAGATACAACCAGAGCACTAAACTAAATCATATCACATGACAACATCCAAAACCACCCCTTACCTCTCATTCACAAGCCAGAATGTCCCTGCATTTTCCATCACCATCTTCAACAGCTCCAAAGACAGCACCTTCCCTCTCAACAAAAGAGGATCCTCTGGATTTTCCCCAGGCGCAGCAAACTTCATGGAAAATTTACACAAATTCTTGAACAAAAGAAATCCATCCTCCCTAATCTTACTCATCCCACCAGCATCAGCCTCCCCAACTTCACCTTGCCACAATTTTTCCTCCGAGACCTCCACTTCATCCCCTCCCACCGCTTCGTTTATAAAATTTCGCGCTGCCTGCACGAGATTCGAATCATTCAAGTTCTTATCCGCAAGATCCAGCACATCTGCCATCAATGCCGTCTTGATTGCGACATCCACGGCGTCGGCTTCCACCCTAGTGAATACAATCATCAGGATCTGAACCAGAGCAGTCTTTGCACATAGCTGGTTGACAGCACTCTGGCTTCCCAAATACACATTATAGCAGCTCTTCACGATCTGGACAAGACACTCCCCGTGAAGCACAACCGCCGTAGATCGCACGGCCGCGACAAGAACACGCAGCATGGCAAGCTCGAGGGATTCCTCACCCATCGCACCGCAAGCGCAGACCGAGCCTATGAGTCGAGCGGCGACAGGAGCGGACTCGCCGGAGACAGCTGCATCGTTGATCTCGGCGCGGAGGAGGGAGAGAGAGAAGAGGCGGTGGGCTGCATCAAGGGCGGGCTCTGCAACTTTCGAAGAGGCGTCGTCTAGGGCCAGAATGAGGGGGCGGAGAGCGGTGTCGGCATCGGCGGCTGAGAGGCCTGCAAGGGATGAGGTGGTATCGGGAGGCGAGTCGCTGAGAGACTCAAGGAGGTCGAGGACGGATTTGCAGGAGGAGACTAGAGCGGAGTGTTTGCGCCATGCTGCGTTCTTGATGATGCGATCGAGGTAAGGGCCGAGGAGGCGGCCGGCGCGGGAGGCACCTCCAAGCGGTTGAGAGGAAGACATGGATCGAGGATATTAGGGTTAGGGTTTCAGTTTGGAGGGGAATGGGAGGATGAGGAGGAGGAGGACGAAGGGGGAGAGATCCACGACTTCTTCGTCCTCTCCAACGACGGTGGAGGAAACATTTCTTTTTTTTATTTTATCGCGAAATGGGAGCGAGAAAACAAAGGAATGTTAGTTGGGTCACGACTCATGACCCAAATAAAAGAACTTTATCGTGCAGTCAATCTCAAACAACAAAACTTAATTCAATCCAAATACAGATAAAAGAGTATAGGCCAAAATATGAGCAACATTAACTTCCTCTAGAGCCTAAATATATATTTCTTTTACTCTTTATCCTCCATATTTGGGGCTCTCTCTTATGGGGTTGTTGTGAAACAAGTGTGTAATGCACGTTAGAATGCTCGTGGATTTTATCATCAACTTGATGAATAAATTTTAAAATATAGGACTTTCTATAAGAGCGAATTGTTCAAAAAGAACTCTTTTTCCTCGTGTTTTTTTCTTGGATGTTTTGATTAAAATATATGTGTGGATTTTTTATATTGTTATTGGCTTGATATAATTTAGAGAACACTAGTTTTCTTGAAACCTCTTGCTCGTATCTCTCATCAAGGAGACATTCTATAATATTGTTTTAATGGATCCCATGTTAAGCCCAACGAACATTTATTTGGGGGCAGTTTCAACTGTTTGAAGAAGCAAATGAGTTTGAATCCCTTGGCATTCAAAAAATTGAATTATTTTTTGTTGCCGAAGACGACGACACTGGAGATGGAGGTCAGCGAAGGCAGCTGTGGTGGCTGGAGTCGGTGGTCAGAGTTGTCATCTCCTCGAGCTCTCACACCATTGGCCAACTTTGGCAGCCGTTGGCAGCCGTTGTTGGCCACCTCCTGTCACTGCAGTCTCCAACCAACTATGTTCTCCATCACCATCGACGGCCTCCACTCACGCATCGGCCAGAGGACGCCAAAAGCACTGCCAAAGTTGGTCAAGTATTGTTAGAGCCCGAGGAAATGACAACTGATACGCCACAAACAAATTTTCATTATTCGACACGGATCTTGAAGCATGATACGGATCTCGAGATAATATTTTGAGCAATGGATGTTCAAACTTTGATAAAAACAAAACTCATTCAGAGCTTCGATTTCGGCAAACTTATTGTCAAATTGACCGGTTCGATGGGACGGACCTAATGATATCAAAGTCAGTCCAATCTGAGTCAAATCAAGATCATATCAAGTCATTAAACGGTTCTTGAAAGATTTTCGGACATATTTGAAAGGTCAAACAGATGTCGAAGCTGGCAAGTTTAAAGTTGAATCGAGTGTCTCAACAAGACGAATCCAACGAGCCCAAGATTGTAAAATTCTGACATTGTCAAGGCACTCAAATGTCCATTAAATGTCGTATGATCGAATGAAACTCTCCTTACCGTCAGATCAAAATGGTTTATATTTCTTCTTTAATGACACCTAAAACACTAAAAATAGACCCCTACCCCTCTCATGAGGGAGGGGTTGAACCCTAGAGATAGAGCCTAAGGACTTGAAGAGGGGTTGCAGTTCAACATCACCGCTTAACACCGTCGACCATTGCTGACCGCTGTCGACCATCGTTTACCACCGTCGATCGACCACAGCCGATCGCTGCCGACCTCCACCGACAGCTGTCAACCATTGCAGATCGTCGTCAACCACTGTTGACCGCCAACCTCCGTCAACCACTGCTGACCTTCGTTGGCCACTGTCGACCGTCGTCGACCACCACCAACCAAACTCCGTCAGTCAATGTTATAACTTGGAAAATCTAGTAATCATTTCTCATCTGTGTGATAAGAGCTCATCACTACGGTCCATGCGCGAACAACGACTTACGTGGTCATCAGTTCATGCATCTCCTGACTCCGGCCTCGTGGCCTATGGACGTCACTAATACTCACCCCAACGGCCAACGTGGTTCACAGCTCATGCATTTCTTGACTCCCGCCCCCACGGCCTACGGACGTCATTCATACTCGCCCAAATAACCTACGTGGTTCACAGCTTGTGCAGCTCCTGAATCTGGCCTCCGCGGCCTACGGGCCCCCGCGGCCTACGAAGGTCATTCATACTCGGCCCTACGACCTACTGTTATTGCGAGATTTAGATATACCAGTTGATGTGGTATATATATAAATCAAACAGGAGAATGATCGACGAAGTGAAAAATAGAACAATAAAAATCACACCAAAAAAGAACAACATAGCGGAACCCACAGATTTACGTGGTTCGGTAAATTGCCTATGTCCATGAAGTTGCGGAGGATTTTACTACTTGAGGAATTTACACTAGTCGATCACCTCGACTTACAAGAGGAATCTCTCACTCTTCGTTGCTCCTTCGTTGACTCTTCGTTGCTCTCTCTCTTCTTCTCTCTTTGTTCTTCTCTCTCTATATTGAGATACACCAAAAAAAACTATGCACCGAGATACACTGAGGAAGACAAACTTACAAGAGAAATAAACTCAATTTCTCTTCTGCCACAAGACACCAAGAAGAAGCCTAGGGAGAACAATATTCTTCTTCTTCCTTCTACACCGCAAGGAACTGCTCCTTGCACTTTTCTTCCTCTGCCGCGAGGAAACCTTCCTCTATCCCGAGGAAACCAAAGAAGAACTCAAAGTGTGACTACTAAAACCCAAGGAGAGTCATCCGAACCTTTTTTTACGAACAAGAGGGAGCGAATAGATGTTTCACTTCACAAAAGAGGAAGGCGAAAGAGAAAGGCATGGACGCATGGATGGTTATTTGTGAAAAGGTGTGACTCTCCAAAGCAAAGTAACCGCCCAAGCATAGTGGACCGGTCTCCACCGTTTTTAACACCTACGTGGTTCACTGCTCATGCAGCTCCCAACTGCGGCCCCCGCAACCTACGAACGTCATTCATACTTGCTCTAACGACCTACGTGGTCATTAGCTCATGCAGCTCCCGACTCCGGCCCCTACATCCTATGAACGTCATTCATACTCGCCCTTATGGCCGACGTGGTCATCAGCTCATGTAGCTCCTGACTCCGACCCCTAGCTAGCGGACGTCATTCATACTCTCTCTTATGACCTACATGATTCACAGCTTGAGTAGCTCTCGACTTCAACCCCCTCGGCTTACAGACATTATTCATACTCGTCATTATGGTATATGTGATCCACAACTCTCATAACTGCTTACTACAATTTCTCTGGCTAATCAAAGCTTCTGGAGCAACCATCTACAATTCCTCCCTCCACAACAATCAACAATGACCCTTGCAACCTGCTGTCATTAAGAACTGCAATCAAATTATAGTTATACAACTTTGTAATTCAATTTTTCCTAATTTAGGAGAAGAATAGACATGTTTACTCATCATTCATAGTGAATTATTTCAACTGTGCTATGCCCCGTGATTTTTCCCCCTTTAAAGGGTTTTCCATATAAAAAGGCGAGGCGTCTCCTTTTGCTTACTTTTGTTCTTTTATCTGTGTGGTTTAAATTCTCGTGTTATGCTAAGACGATAATCAATTACTCTACTGTCACGAATTTTCTACAACGCATTAGCAACTAAAACTACCCAGTTGTGAACTAGACTAAAGAACTTTCTTACACAAATATACATAACAAATCATAATTCTTCATAAGCTTAACTTACCCTACAAAATAAGTTATCTAACCAAATAAAATAAAAGAATGAAAAAAATTTGAACGTCTATAATAAAAAAAAGGTTCAATATGGTGACTCATGCTAAGCAAAAGGAGCCTAATTAGTTCATGCTATGAAAATATAATTACTTCAATTTGTTGCTTGAAAATCTAATTATTATCATGCTAATGTCCTCCAATAATTTGTTTTGCCATGAAGCTCTTGCTCATTCATCTCTCCACCTCTCCAAATTTTGCTTTCTCAAATCCCCATACCAAGATCACACAAAATCTAACTCTAGTTTCAATCCTTCATCTACCCAAACCATTTAAAAATTTGCCAAAAAAAACTCTAAAATTATTTTATACATACATTCTACCATTAAAATCAGCTTTATTATTATTATTATTTTATTTTGCATTAAACCCATTCATCAAGACCAATCATTCATCCAAAGCAGGCTGCCAAATTCGGTTCATACAAGCCCTAATCTTTAAAATAACTTTAAAAAAATGATTAAATGTTAAACTTTTTATAACACAATGATATCACAACTAAAAATTTTCAAGTGATTTCAGGTCATGTGATTACACAAATGTTCACATTTAAAGGAAGAAAGTTTGACACAAATTTTCATGTTTTAAGATTGCATGTTGCATGACCCACTCATAACTCGTGTTTTTCCTTGATAGCTTCACCCAAGTTCTAATCCCTCGTTTCCAAACCTTCCTTTAGCAACATTTGAAGCTCTGGAGAACTAGCCGGTATCATATTTGTATTAACAGCTTTTATTTTCTCTCAATTCTTATGCCTTTTCATATATTACACCTATACTTCAATTATCATTATTTTTGCAGATACATCTCACTTTTTTCAAGTTAAAATGGTGGAATGTTTAATGTGATATGAAAAATGTTGGTAGTATAGTTGTAAACTATGTAATTTTCATGTGTGAGACAATGTTATTCACTTGAAGATTTCAAGTTATTGAAGGATCAAGTCAATCATACATAGTTTCATTAAATTAAAGTTGCTGGGGTCTCATGGTGATGCTGTGTTTTTATTGTGTATGAAATGAACAAGTCACTATAATAAAAACAAGGATAACTTATAAAAAGGAGCAAATTAATTAATTAAAAAAGGGTAACAATCATAATTAGAAAAAATTATATATAAACTTAAGCACTCTCAATAGAGGCCTTTTAATAAAAAATAAAAATAAATTTTATTCTCATAATTAAATTTTAAAATTTAGTAAATTAAAAAAAAGAATAATAATATGAAAATAATATTCGTGAGAAAATAATTATTATTTGTGGACATCCAGATGTAATGTGAATGTGGAGGTCATGTCACTCCTAATTCCCATTTGTGACATCCCCTCACCATCCCCATCCACCATTCCACCGTTGTCTGTAGGTGTGTGGTGTTCGTACATAATAATTTCTCGCTCTCTGAGTTTAGTTCCGCCTATCTTAAAACCAACTTGAATGGAGCATGACACCAAATCAGCAACTATGTTCAAACTAGGAAAACAAAAGATTTAAACACAATGAAATAAAATAAGTACACCAAAGATGCCAAAATTAAAGCCTTACCGTTATGGATGTTTAAAGTTTGGGGCATTTACATACATAACGCCCAATTCTTATGTATTTACATATCTAATGCCTAAACTTTACTGTTTACATTTATACCACCTAAATCTTTCATATCACTTAAAAAATACCACCACTTTTACTATTAAAAAGGGTAATACACCATTTCATGCATAGGTAGGATGGAATGTATGTAAAAATTGAAGTTTAGGTGTTAGATGTGTAAATGCATAAAAATTGAGTGGTATGCATGTAAATCTTCCGTAAAAGTTTTTTGTATTCCTTCCAAGTGACTGCAATCTCTCAAATGGGCTAGTTTATATTGAGGTGGTTCTGATGGTTCTTAACGGGGTGATTTTTGATTCATTGTTGGTCTTGTGAACGTTATTGAGAAATTCAGTTGTGGGATCTTCCATCCACAATTCTACAATACTCGGGGGATTATTTAGCAACAAAAGTAAAAATAGATGATAAATTTTGCCTTTAGGCATCATCATATATGAGATATAAAATCATTTTTAATTTAGTCCCTTGAGCTATTATCTATACGAGAGAGCTTGCCTTTAAACTTGAATAATGAAGTTAGGGAAGCTAATTCAATAATTTCATTTTCTTTGCTTTAGTTGATTTTTGGATTTAGAAGTTCCAAATTTTACAAGCCGGCATATTTAAGCCCAAACAAACCTTTCCTGAATAGACGCCCGAGTTGTTGTTGATTGGAAACTTTTGTTAACTTGAGATTTTCTGTGCTGTATGTGTTTTTTGTATGTTTCAGCAATATCTGTTAAGCTTTTTGAAACTTTAACCTAACATTTATCTAAATTTCCTGTTTGTCGCTGCATAATAAACACCAATATGTCTTGTATGACTTCAGGTATAATGTTATAGGCCTTTCAGCAAATATTGGAGATTGCTTTTTCCGTGGCTTTGACTGTTCTATTCTCACCATGGCACTCATGGAGAATGTACAATCAATGGACTTTAGACACATTCGTCAACTGATTCACTTAGTACTTGTCCCTATAGTGAAGTTATGCCCTGCAGATTTGAGAGTTCAATGGCTGGAAAACTTGCTTCATCCATTGTTCCTCCACTGTCAGCAGGCTCTTTCTTACTCATGGTCTAGTTTCATGCACGAAGGTAGAGCAAAGGTTCCCGACACATTTATTAGCCTTCCTGACATTGAGCTGAAGTTAGAGGTAATGGAAGAGAAGTTACTTCGTGATTTGACTCGGGAAATATGTAATCTTTTATTGGTTTTAGCTTCACCGGCTCTAAATTCTGGGCTGCCTTCTTTGGAACAACTTGGAAATGTAAACCGTACCGAATCATCTTCGCTCAATTCATTGGATGCATTCTCTACAAATTCTATAATGGGGTATTGTGTTGATAACCAAACCTTGCTTTCTTTTGCTTATAATGTTTTTTTTTTTTTGGAGAAATTTACATACATAGCACACAATTTTTATGTATTTACTTATCTAATATCCAAAATTTCATATTTACGCTTATAGCACTTTGGTTTTATAAACCTCTGCATGAAAATGCGTATTTCACTTTTAAGAAGATAGTGTTGGTGCTTTTTCTGATGTGATGTAAAAATTTGAGTGCTATGCATATAAATATGAATTTTTAGTTGTTAGATACGTGAATGCATAAGAATTGTGTGTTATGTATGTAAATACTCCTTAATTTTGTTTGGAGTGATTCAAGTCACCCTATCGAACTAAGCCTTTAGTGTATTGCTTCACTTATAGATTTCTCTTGACGCATAAAAGCCTTGCTCTTCCAGCCTTGAGAATATGTATTGAAGCGTTCACTTGGACTGATGGAGAAGCTGTTGCTAAGGTTGCGTCCTTCTGTGAAGCTGTTATCCTTCTTGCTATATCAACAGATAATGTGGAACTCAGGGAGTTTGTTGTGAAGGATTTATTCTATGCCATTCTTCAAGCTCTTTTCCTTGAATCAAATGCAGTAATCAGTTCAGATCTTGTTGGTCTTTGTCGTGAAATATATGTTTATTTGTCGCACAGAGATTCTTCTCCAAGGCAGGTCAGTTGAGAATAATCAATTTTTTTGTTTGAACTTCTGAACATGTAAAATTTGCAAGTTTGCTTATTGAGTAGACGTTTTCTTGGTGCTAAAAGCTTATTTTTCTTATCAGATTCTGCTATCCCTTCCTTTTCTTACAGAGGGGGATTTAGTTGCTTTTGAAGATGCTCTGAGTAAAACTAGTAGCCCAAAAGAGCAAAAGCTGCTTATGAGAAGTTTGCTTCAGTTGGCTACTGGAAACAAGTTGAGAGCTCTTGCTTGTCAAAAGAGCACAAGCATCATAACCAATGTTACAGGTATGTGTTTTGTCCATCCTTTAAGAATTAAGTCTAAAATGTAATTTATCCATAACTTTCCTAACATGAAATTGTGAAATGCAGCTGATTTAATAGTTCTCTCTCTCTCTTTGTTTTTTTTTTTTTTTTTAAGTGTATTAATTTATATATATATTTTAAAGCCCAAAAAGGCTAATATATTAAATAGAAAGAAAGATACAGATATAATGTGTGTGAAGGTCAAAGCATGACACCCTGCCCACACAAAAATCACAAATGGTTCCAAAACTAAAAAAAAACAAAAAAAAATACATTATATACTTAAATAAAAAACTTAACAGTGCCGAAATACATAGTATCAGGTAGCTAGAGAGCGACCCAATTTGATCTTGCCTCTGCATCTACAT